CAATCATGTCTCATTAAGAAAGGTTCTGGTTATTTTTTAGAGTTTCTGAAAAACTGTTTTTCTAGAAAACCAGATCTTCGAAGGGCTAAGGGTAATCCCCATGGTCATATTTGGAATTAGCATGGTCGATAACCTATAACTCACTAGATTCCGAGCAAAAAGTATTTAATCACCTCGTAAGTGTACCTTGATGAATTCCTCTCTTCGTAGACAAAATGTGAATCGATCATCATTGTTTAGTTTTCGTTTTGGTCAAGATGTTCCACTGGTATGAACAGCTATCAAAATGTTCTTTTTCTCTCTTGTAGAAACGTCTTTTTTTCAATTTAAATTGTATCCGATAGTATTAATCCGACGGTGTTAGATCCAGTGTGCACATTACACAATAATATTTACGAAATACTTTTATCTACCCCTGAATCATTACAAGATTTTTATGAAAGAATACTTGAGAATATACTGATGAATGAGAAAAAGCCTAAATATAGTACATGTTCTGTTTCCGTCTATCATCTCATGGTAGCATATTTGTTTTGGTTTTCAGTTCATCAGAATTGTCAACGGTAATAAAATAATTTATGTGGCAAATTGAGGGTATATTTGATGATTTGAGATTTGGGCTAAGTAAATTATCGGCTGTTTCATTGGCGAAAGAATATTGTTTTAAACGAGTAAGTAAGTTGTAATAAATGTGCTTTAATTCCTTACACATAACACCAGATTTTGTGTTAATTCTCATACCACACATGAATACAATAGTCTGTTCTCTGGACTTGATTAAAAGTCTCTGCAAAGTTGGCTTATTGGCCATCGAGGGAACAATAGAAGAATCCACCAGTAGCTAATGGTTTTGTATTCATCCTACCAGCATGGGCTTTTAAAATCCTGCAAAAAAAAGCTTGATAGGCACAGGTGCTCACTCGTACTCGTTCGACACCGATGCATGCCTCGTTTTGAGCAAGTGCGGTACCAATGCTAATCAGCGGACATCGGTATGCACTGGCAGTATCGTAGTGAAACATTTTTTGCAGAGAGATTTATATGGTAAATACCTCGTAGGCAACCTTTTTTTTGTCCTTGTGATCATGTAAATATAGAAACTGACTATCATTATCTCTTCACTTATCATACATACACCCAGAATGGGAAAAGTCTATTCATTCTGCTGACAGCTGCACTTTCAAAAATCAAACCCGATCTTAAAACAACACTGTTATAATCCTCCATTGGGTATGACCATGCAGTTGAGGTTGCAAAAGCGATATATATCCACATAGTAAGCAGTGAGAACTTTTCTATTATGTCAATCTGATTTGTTATTTTCGTAGTCGTAAAGTATAAACACACATTGGCGATAGAGTAGGTCGAGGTTCCCTTACTTCCCAAACTCATTGATGATACTGTGCTTAACACATTTTTTCTTGATTAAAAATAGTGATTAAAATAATGTCCTATTGTGTGTTATCGACTATATTCTGTTCTATCAGATAGACCTACTCTCTTTACTCGATACTCTTTTTTGTATTTCATGCCATGTTAACGTGCTGTGTAACAATTCAAATTTGCTGCGCGTTCCTTATTGCCAGTTATCCAAATTGTACGATATAGGTCACATAGTTCGCTAATATGACATTTGTTTCTCTTTTCTATGTTAATAATAAATAAAATCCAGAGGTTGTAGGATACGATCGAAAGATATAGGAAAAGTAAAAATCGGAGAGCATCACTTCTAATGTAGTTAATTCGAATAGTTTTCAAACAGTTAAAATCGGATCTATAGATCTTTGGATAATGATCGAGAAAAATACTTTATCAAATGTATAATGTGTAAAGGAAAAGGACTCGATTAACTTATATAAAAAACATGTGTAGTTTTTTCGGCAGATTAAATACTCTCTCTTTGTTCTTATCGCTTCTATTATTTGCTTATCCTTTTTCCTTCTCTTCTAGTTCTTTCACAATTTCTTGCGAAATTACTAATAAAAAGTGGAAGGAAGAAAGAAGTAGAATTACGCAAGACGAATGACACACATGTTTTGTGCATACTATAAAAGCATAAACAATTCAATAAGTGTCACTATTCCATCAGGCGGAGACACACCCTTTGATTATACTTCGGTTGATGCTCCGCTAACTTATACTCATGAACAGGCAAGGTGTGATCAATCTTATTATATTGTATTTTCTGATATATATCAAGTTCAATTTGTTTTTGATTTTTTCTTCTTTTACAGATCAGACAATTTTTCGAAGATTTTTTTATACGAGAACCATCTCACCTTAATCTGTTTACAAATGAAAAAAAAGTTTCTTATCGGCCCAATTGTGATAACAGCTACAATGGTTCTGATATCTTATTATTCAACTTAGAAGTAATTCATTCAATGATTTACACTAAATAATTTGTAATTCTCCATACTATGGTCGATTACCATTGTTGCAAATTGAATGTGTTCAACTTGATGGAAGTAGTCGTTATTCACTGCCAGATGTCCCATTTAGTCATACAACAAATGGAAATTTAATATCGTCAAACGCACTGATAAACCACTCTGAAACAGGACGCTTTATTATATCGTTAAATAATAATGATGCCAACCAACAGAGGCAAAACAATAATATTCGTGATAACGTATTTGGCACAGATGCAGCAGCCACTTCGGTGATATTAGTTTTAAAAGTAAATTTCTTTTAGCGCTCATGGAGCGTCTTCGAACATTACCTACCTACTAAGATGGAAAAAGCCATCAAATATTTCTTCCAGCCACATATGGAAAACCAACAACGGATATTAACGATGTAATATTAACAAAAGAGAAGGAAAATGGGAATGTACGATCGGTTCCATGTTCATTGGATTCTATGCTAAATTTAACATGAGAGCTAGAAAAATCAAAATTGAATTCTGTTCAAATATCATCAAATGAATTCGATAATAATCATCATCGTCGACATATTGTGTCAACAAAAGAGATGATTTAAATCAAGATTTCATTCATTGTCGAAAACTTTGAAAGATCTGATATAAAGAATGGCGTCATTGTTGTTAAATGGTTTAACATCCGATGAAAATATGTCAGATTTAGTGGTGCAGCAAACAATGAACAAATGATTAAAAAAAATAAAACAATTCAATAATAGCAATCGTCAGATATGGCGGTGATAGATGATAAAAATGCCAAATCTACTCTAGTCGATGAAGAATACCAAAGAAAGAAAAAAGAGTAGACATGGTGAGGAATTCTAACACAACTACAATCAGTAATGCTGCTAGACTAACGAGCGCATTCTCAAATAGTCAAATAGAGTAAGTTTTTATTTTAAAGGACTCACACTGAGTAAAGGATGAATATATCGAAGAATAAATAACTGAATATAGAAAGATTTACTTTTCCAAGCGTTCCAGAAATATGTACGAACATGCTTATAAAGTATTCAGTGCCCATAATGATCAACTTCCTCTTTCAATATTATTTGCACTTTTTCTTTTCATCAGATATTTTGTGTTCGAAACAAAAACTGGAAAATTCAATAGCATCCCGTTTCGAAGATCTTCTGTGCAGCGATTGTTTGTCCATAGTGTGTGATACCGTATTTTTATAATGAATCAGCACCGTTGGATGAAAATTGTGTTCATTTAATTATTTGTGTACATTGTCTAGATGGAAATGCTCGTGATGCAATGCAATGAAAGAATTTTTCAAAATTGATAAATAGTCCGTGCTTAAATATTTTCTTTATTTTTGAATATTACTCTTCCATCGAAATGTTTTTGCATTGCGATCGTTTTGTTCGCAGGTTTATAAAAACCATAATTTTACATCAGAGAATACACTTCTCACTGAATGTAGGATATACGTTTGATTCCTCTGGTGAAGAGGATACGTACGTGTATCACCCGCTTTGGAAATGAAAGTAAAAATTTATTAATAAATTTGATATTTGTGGATAGTCAAAGATAATGCTTCTCTCTCTCTCTCCATCATTAAAAATCTATTGATTTATTCTTTTTTTGTAGATTTATCTTTTAGTTTTTATCTTGAAAAACTATATTTAATTATAAAGTAAAGATGCCGTTAGCTAAAGATTTATTGCATCCGACGATAGACGAAGAACGTCGGAAACATAAATTGAAACGTCTAGTTCAAAGTCCAAATTCATATTTCATGGATGTCAAATGTCCTGGTTGTTATAAAATAACAACAGGTAAATAACAATAGCTTCATAAATAGAGGAAAAACTCTCAGTTTCTAATATTTATGTTATTTTTTTGTTTTATTACAGTATTTAGCCATGCACAAACTGTTGTTTTATGTGTCGGGTGTAATTACGTGTTATGTTCCCCTTCTGGAGGCAAAGCCCGTTTAACAGAAGGTTGTTCATTTCGAAAGAAACGTGATACACCAATGGCAAGAAAGGATGATGCGGATCGTAATTAAACGATTTGAATAACAACAAGAATAACCATCAAATATGAAAACAAAACGAAAAAAACCAGTAACCAGTAATCGTGTTTTGTAAGTTTATTCATTCAAGCAAAGGACGGAAAATGTCTTGCCCGTACGTGTGATGTGGGTTTTTTGCTACTGATTTTTTTGTACGTTAAAAGGTTTCTACGGGTTTTTTTAAATTATGTTTGTTTCATATTGAACTGACTAAAGTAAACGATTATATTTATGTATGTTGAATGAATAAATTTTCAACCATGATTGGTTCAAATAAATAATGTCAGAAATATTTACTGCTAACAGTCAAGCAAGCTTGAAGTCTACTATTATGATCACAACAACGAGATGAGGAACGAATTTATAAATTGACGTTCATCATACAGACATCTTTTTGAAGTCAGTTTATCAAAATCTTCTATTATCCTTTTCAACGGTTTTTAGACTCCACTGTTCACAGCCAGTAACTTCATGACGAATTTGAGAGAAGAAGTGGCATTTAGTCCTCAAATTACCACAAATATAGCTTATGGGTGTCGTTTATTAGTCTTTGCCAGTCCCGTTCAATGAAAGAAGACGAGTATGAAGGAACACAACAATAATACCGAATTTTGTTGTGGTCAAAAACGGCACATAAAACGTACTAATATTAATGGAAATAAAGTGTTGCTTTTGCTTTTCCTTTATAACCTTTTACAGTTTCGTTGAAAGATTTCTTGTGATAAGTGTGGACTCTTACATAGGGTTAAAAATAAGCTTTGTTGATAGTCAATTATAGATTTTTTATCTTGCGTATATTAAAGCTAATCTCCTCCGCTGTTAAAAACTCATATCACTAACGATAAATCAACCAAACTTTCCAGGCGTGTATCATGCCAGAGTATGATGACGGAAGTTTCTTTTTGGCTCCATTTGTGTTCGTTCGCAAGATGTCGCACTTGGCGAAATGAGGTTCTTTATTTTTTCCCAGAAATCTATGCCTAGATAGCTGATGGAGAGCTCTTAAGATCTCACAATGAAGCAGACGCTTTGGCTGCAATGTACAAAAGCTCGGTTTTCAATTGTTGTTCAATTAATTCGTGGCAGGTGTTACAGGTCAAAAATCCAAAACATCTAATTCAAGTTAAGGCTAATTCGAGTTCTCCATTATCTAGCTGTAGCAGAATTTTGGGAAACACGAAAGTTTGTAGTCGAAAAAGAGACTTTCAGAGAAAATTCTGTGCATTTTAGAACTTGTAGCAGAGCAACTTTTTAAAACAGCTGCGCAGACACTGTACGAAGTCTTATTTTAACCAGAAAAGCTTGTTCTATAAATTGACACATTCAGGAAAACACTAATAGTTGAAGATATTGTTTCACGAGACTCATAGAAACCTTGCCCGAAAACAATGTAAAAACACTTATACAAATCTATTCCGATTCTGGAAGCACACACCGTGGACCCTTTGATCATAAGTTTATCTCAGAAATCGATGTTATTGACAAAATAATCATTTTTAACGCAAGATCTCATTTTATAAAGCTGAAAAAATATAATTAATTATTCATTTTTCTTCTCTACTTAGGCTTTTCCCGATAAGCGGTTTAGGTCGACTCAAAACAATTGATCTCTATAACTACTTGTTGAGAAAGAGTCTGAGAAAAGAATGCACTCGTTGATTTTAAAACTTCAATATTAAAATTTCAAAAACTATATTTCAAAGTCAGTTAAGATGCCAGGAAAAAAGTGGCGAAAACTGAGGTTATCGAGAATGTTCAATATGTCTTGTTCTACAAGAGTGTGCACACAGTTAGCATTACAAGATGAGTTAAAAAGAATAAAAGGAGTTTTTCTAAATACATCAGGTAAAAAGATGCAATTGGTAAGATAGAAAACCTGTATATAACCGTATGTAATAGAGAAAAAGAATATTTTCTTAAAGAAAAAACATGGACGTATTTCACTTTCTTTTTTGTGGCTATTCCATCAACATCATGTTGAATTGCTTTTTCATTTAGTAAGCACAAATTGGACGTTTTAAGTATTCTTTTCTTGGTGCATTTGTGTCTTAAACAGAACACGAGAGATACCTGAATGTTCTCACATGTTTTTCTATTATGTTGTCGTTATCTGTTATATTTTATTTAAAAGAAGATTATTCGCTCAGCTGACTACGTGTTTATACTCGCATACATGCACGATGTTGATCCTTTTTTCTCTCGCTGATTAAATATTAAAGATACAGTTCTCAATAGAGTCCCACCTCATTCACGAGCCCAAATGGCGCCATTCGTTTCTTTCGTACTATTTAAAAGGAAGAAAAAAAAAATGTTATTATTCCTCGATAAATGCGCTTTCGTTATAGACTTTTACGAAACTCTATGTGCAAAGAGAAAAATTGCACATCACCAAAAAAAAATATTTTCTTTCTCTTACTCTCTCTCATTTTCTCTCTTTTATATTTATTGTCGCTGTAATAATATATATATATAGACGAGCATTTCATTTGGTTTTTTCCGATTTTGAGGAGAGTTGCTCTTGTGTATGTGTGTGTATGTGTGTGTGTGATGTGCATCTCAATGCATGCTATCTGCGTGTTGCTACACTTTTCTTTCAAAAACGTATCTATAATTTTCATAATTTAGATTTCTTTTCTCTGTTCTTAAAACGGCGTACCGAAATTGTCTTTCTTCTGTTATACAGCTGCGCAGCGACGATGATCGATGCCTTCTATGTGTTTGCACATATGTCGATGGTATATGCCACACTCAAAAATAAAGGCAAACACATATGTACGGTAAAGTAGATATATATATATATATATAGAGAGAGAGAGAGAAAGAGAGAGAGAAAAATACTATTTTCGCATGTAATACGTATTTCTATACATATAAGAGACGAATTTTTTTTTCTCTTGTAGGATATATGATCAACTGGTTCGACAACGCATAATATTAAAAAAAGAAAAAGTAATAAAGTCCTGAAATATTACATTTATCAAATGAATATAATGCCGCACATATTTTTTTGTAGTTTTAACATTTTTGCACAAAATATTTAGAATATGAGAGAAAAGATGAGTCGAGAGAGATGTTTTCATCTGAAAATAATATCGTTTTTAAATAGCAGAGTAAATGTGGTTACAATCAAAAATTCATAAAGCATGGCAGTTATAAAGTCAAGAGTGTTCTACACAACAACAAGTCAAATAACGCTTTCAAAAACATGAACTAGACTCAATGCAATGAATGACGATGATAACAGAACTCTCTCTTACTATTGTAAATGCCATGTTTTGGGATTTAGATTTAGAACTATAATAAGAGACAACTGGCTGTTAGTTAAGCTTTATGTCAGTTAAAAGTCAAAGAACCGATTTGATACACTTCTGTTCAAATGGATCTGAAGAAGTTTCTGTATTGAACATATGATGCTGCACAAGCAAATGTGGCAAATCCTCTACGAAACAAGGAAATAATTGATATATACTCAAAGTCTAAATAATAGTATCTGCGATGAATCTGATTATTTAATAAGACATAATTTATTAACTTAAACTTCAACCTTGATCTGTAATACTACAACTACAAGAGTAGATGTTACTAGTTATTTCCTGTATTTCATAAATTGAAAAAAGGACAATTTCCTATATAAGCATTAATATTCATTTGGTAAATGTGTACTGTATTTCATACTACAGCACTAATAGAGCATTAGTATCTGTTTTCAAAATGAGGAAAGTGTTGAGAATTGAATACGCAAAGGAAAGGTTCTTTCTGCTTTTGAATGGAATCTGATCTGAATCAGTAGAGATCTATAGTACCTCATCTTTTTGAATATGTTGAAAATTTTGAAATTTTTTACAAAACCTTCGTGAATAAAGTCGTGATTCGAACTATTTTTCATATAATACACAGTATATTTAGAATAACATGTTAAATGAAAATTTTTCAGAATTGAGCTGTTTTATGACATTATTTGTTATAATTATTACGTTTAGTATTCATAAGGTGTAATTTTTTTATGTAAATCAGAACTATATATTTGACAGCAACTTCGAACATGTTTTTTCTTTCCAGAATCGCAGACTTCTTTTAGCCTAAATAATGGCCATTTATAACGGTGAAAAGAATGATTTGTAGAAGATTTGCTGTTAACGATCAAAATATGCTGAGAAACAGTACGAAACATAGAACAAGAAACTAGATTTTAGCATTTTTTTATAGCAGAACTTCAGTTAATTAAGTTAAAAAGGTTATTTAAATATAAATATCATCTGAAACTAAAAGTTTGTTTCAAATTTTTGAGGAAAATGCCAATTTCTTATCCGCTTTCTCTTTTGGTTACGAAAATTCGCTAACGAACACTTGGCGAAACTATATTAATCAAAACGTGATTTCGTATTCGAAGGTCTATTTTTAAAACTATGAAGTCTTATTTAAGGCTAAACGAATACAACGTTCAGAAATGCAGAGTTTTGTTTATTGAGCTACATAAAATTTTGATTGATTGTTTTGTATAACTTTGTGTAAACACCCTATAAAATGGATTAAACATTCATTTTTCTACATTTCTCAAAGAGAAAATATCTTACTACAGTAGTATATCGAACGATTTACGATAACTTCAAAGAAAATATCTATTTTCAAACGATTTTTCTTTTCTTTTTGTTTTTCGCGTCATAGATGTCTGCACTATCTGATTTATTTTCAAACAATCGTCAGATAAATTTAACTTGTGAATCTTATGTATGGACAGCCAAAATTAGTTAGACTAAAAAGATTTACTTTTCGTTAGTTAGGCTTAAATTGGCATGGCTATCGAACTCTGCTAGCGGAGTGAAATTTCGTAACGATTTTTTTCTATTATAATTTTCGAACGGCGTGATGCCCAGAGCTCTAGAACATCTCTGACATGTTCTGACAGATTAATGACAAAAGTATGCTAAAGATTTTAAGATGTTCTCACAGTCTACGCATTCTTTCGTGCAAAAACTATGATAAAAATACCAATGGCTATTTTCCAAACGTATTCCAGAAAGTAAGTGTTTACATTTTCATCATAGTTTTTGCGCGAAACATTCAGATACGAATGTTAAATTTTTTATGAATACAAATAATTCACTATGAATTGATACCACTGTTACATCAAGATTCACAAGTTGCTTTTGTGTGACAATTGCAGGAAAAGATAGCGCAATCTTAATGGTCGAGCAAATATTCTGATTAAACATTAATGTTGTTATTCCTTGTTCTAGATATTAAACAAATGAGATCAAATGAACGAATGTACATCGTTGTTGTCATACAATATAAAAAGGTACGTTCAGGATGTCGGAAAAAAAAATAGGGTGAACAAAATTATTTTGATATAAATTAATTTTTTCTTTAAGTGTTAAGTATTAATTAATGGAAAAAAAGATCATTGTAATGATTTTTTAACATGTGATGTGACTGAGCAGTAAGCTTGTATTAGAAAGAAAAATGAAGGAGAGACAGTGTAGGACGATCCTGCTCATGGAAAGAACGTGATCTTTCAAAGCACATAGTGCTGTTAAATATAGAGGAAAAGTGTTATTTCGACATCCAAAAACGTAGTTTTTTTTGAAAGTTGACAACCATTGCACATTTGTAAGAGTTTTGTGTATATAATATTTGCTCATATAAATGAATAGATTGAACGTGTTTATATTACTGAATAACGTTCTTGTCTATGATAGTTTCATAGTGAGAATTAACCACTCACTTTCATTTGATTTAGTAGTACTGTTTAATTAATTGGAAGAATATTTTCTTCGCTTTTGGCAATGGATACACGCACTAGACTTCATTAAGAAATGTACATTTAGGTTATTTTTAACCGATGTAAAGCTTTATAAGTTCTTATATTATCGAAACAGTAGTACTGGTTGTTATACAGCTATTTGAAAAGCTGATTCAGACTTCTGAAATTCGTTGTAGGCAAGAATCATTAGTAAGAAATCTAAGTTTGAATCAACGTTTCAGACCGAATTGATTACTAACCAGTGCAAAGATGAATTCTTACTATGGATATTATTTATTTTCGATTTCCTTTTTCAGATTTTTCTAATGGATATACAACAAGCTCGTCAGTTGGATTATTTAAATAGATCTGCCCAATTATTCATATCGCAACCTCCGGATGTATCAGAGCAACTTGAAAAGCTTATCGATGAGATATATAGTGGAAATAAACAAACAATCGATAAAAAGGTATTAATTATTAGTGTTTATCTTTGGTAGAAGAATTTCAACTATTGTCTATTTTAGAAGTTAATTGATTCATTCTCGTCAGAAAAAGAAAAAAATGAATCAACTACGTCAGATAATTCATCAGACAGCAGTACCAATTCTCAAATATCAAATAAAAATGTTAAACAGCAGCTAGTATGTTGAAGACTTTTGTACTTTGACTTCTTTTGACATGTTGTTATTATTTTCCTCTTTTGAATAGAAACGCATATCGCCATTATACAATGCTATTATGAAACCGGCTAAAAAACGTCTAAAAACAAGTGACAATAATCATTTAGAATCGACGTCAGTGATAGTTGATAAAAAATCCGTTTATACTGATGAAACAAGTGAAGATGAGAGGGGATCTGAATCACCGGATTCCCTTTTAACAACCGAATCGACAACATCAACAAATACTACCTTGAAGGATGAACATGCAATAACAAATAGTAATAATAATCGAAATATAGATGAATTTGCCATCGAAATGGGGCTTGTTTGCAATCTATGCATGTAAGTAAACATTTATGATCTTTCTTATCGCTCAAAGATTTATTATTCTATTTCTAGGGTACTAACAGAAGAAGTTGATAATAAACTTGTGGAATGTCACGAATGCCATAATAAATTTCATCAAAAATGTCATAAACCAAACGTGAGCACCGACCAAATCAGCGATCCGCGCTGTCTATGGTACTGCGCCAAGTGTCGTCGTTTGTTATTAAAACGAGTAAGTGTTACTTTATTAGACGTCATCCTTTCAGTCTTCTAGTAGAAAAAGACATGATACATTTATTTTAGCAACAACAGCAAACGAACAAAGAGGGAAAAAATAGTACACAATCAAAGTTATCATCATCAAAAGATCCAACAGCATCAAAGATAAAGAGTGAATCAACAACGACAAAAAAGGTGTTGAATGATGCATCACAATTATTTAACTTCAAGCCAAAGGTAACATGGTTTTTCTCAAACGATCTAAGCTATTTCTATCCTGTTTTTTTTTCACTGTTTAGTCCTCAGATACTAATAGTACTTCGAATAGTCAGTCATTGAACAACGGAAATGGAAATCCATTATCTTCATCCTCAGTTTCTGGATGGGCTGGTCTAGCGGCTAATCTTAAAGAGAAAAAACAATCACCAGACAGCGATTCAATGGGATCTGTGTTTACGAACTCATCTCAAGTAACAACACCAACATCTAGTACACCTTCATCCTCATCTTCATCCTCATCAAACAATCTGTCAGATTCTACAACGAACAATTTAAAAGATTCTTTATCTGTGACTAATACAAATAATAAACGTTCATTATCAAATGAGACAGTCGGTCAAATTAAATCACCTACCACACCCTCTTCATTAAAATTATCTAATATAATTAATCCACTAGCAAAAATAGCTACAACTCCGTTGCCTGTCCAGCTGCTAAGAACATCCTCTATGAATCATTCATCACCGAAAAATACAGCATTGAAATCACAATTATCGATACCACTTGACGGTAATTTAACAGTCACTAAATCATCCAGTTTATCAAAGGTAACGTCGAATAATATATCTAAACAAATAAAGCGGTTAAGTTCTCCGACACCTCTTGGCCGCGCATCACTTCAAAATTCAAATATTAGATCGCCAATCATTCAATGTACAACACTAAATAATAATAGTTATTCACGTATGAATAGTACAGGAACATCGTCAACTACAACACAAAAAGAAATAACAGCATCAACCGTAGCTAAAATTCAGAATAGTTATAATTGCGATAAACGTTTAAAACAAATGAAAAAATTAGCTCAAGAGTCAAGATTGAAAAAATAATTTTTTTTGTTTGTTCGTATGCTTTACCTTTTGTTTAATAAAACGTCTTTTCAGAGGAAAAAGTTTGGTTTCCGTAACAGTGAAGTACCTATGAGATGTAAACATACCTCTTTTTCTTCATACGGCTTTTTTCAGAATATTTGTTATCTCTCTCTTTCTCACTCTTACAACATTAAATTAAAACTATTTCAACGTTGTTTTTCTTTTTCTTTCTTTTTTCATTCAATATTTACCAGATTTTTTTACTGTTTCCTCCTTTTCTGTGTTTTCGTTTTTCATGTAGACTTAGGCTGAAAAAATAATCGTATTTGCAATGTTCGTAGAGAAGAGAAGAGTAGAAATACATACAGCTTCAAAAATACGTACACGTTCACATATTGGCATGTTTTTCCCAATTGAAGGGGATGTTACTAATGGTCAGACATGATTTTGTACCTCTTGCTAGACTCGTATCTATTGAATGAAGAAAAGATGCTAAATGAAATTTGGAAAGGATTTAATTAACGATAGCGTAATCGCATACTGATCAAATGAGACAAATACTGTGCACTTCCATTCTAAGTTATACCTTTTTTTATCCTTTACAGATACATACAGATAATTTAAAATTGAAGGTTAAGCCTATATTTAACTAAAAAAATTGTATATCAAAGAAAAAATGATCTGTGCTATTGAAACCTTTGGAAGAAATTAATAAATAAATTTAGAAAAAGAGATTAGATTAGTCGAAATTTTGGATACTTGTAAAATATGTTAACATATACCAACAGTCCGGAATTGAAGTTACATCCATTAACAATCACTAACATCCAAAAAAGACATGAAATACACGCTATTTGATTCTTAATACTAGATTTCACTTATATTCACTAAATTATAAAGTTAGGGAGCTATCTTTTTTAAGTGTTAATGATTATGTTTTGATTGATCGTAGCCATTAACAAGCATTCATTTAAATATTATTCGATGTCAGTATAATCAACTCGACAAACTTTGCTTATTGGCTGATTTTTATTTCTAGGGTGTTAGTGTGTGTTAACATATTTTACAAATATCCTGCAGGTTTTCCTATTGAAGTGTTTGAGTTCTTTCACTGTTCTATTATATCGTTTTGAATAATATAAAATCAAATATCAATGTTGTTATAATTGTTAATGATAAGATTGCTGCTAGTAGAGTTGTTCGTAAATGAAAACTGCAATGAATAATTGGCCATCATTATATCGACTAAACAAAATATTTATAATTAAGTTAACGTGCTTATGTGAGGTGAACGTTCAAGTAATCAGCTATCGATACTAGCACAGCATTCTACAACATCGATGTGGTATTAAATTATGACATCTGAATTTTAACGACACAAATTATAACCTGTCGAATTATTCTAAGACAGAAAATTATTATTTCAGGCGCACAAAAATGTCACAAATAAACTCCGATATAGTACATGTAAACGGGAATATCGACGAATCCAAAAAACAGTAGGTTCGGTTTTCCAAACATTCAACGTGTTTGAAAAGTATCATTTTTTTGTTCTTTAAGATATTTTATAATGATTATTGTTCTCAAATACAACTTTTTTTCGCCTCTCCCTCTCATTCTCTCTTTCGACAGAGCATAGTTGTTCAAACAGATTTTTAGAATTATAGCAGCCGAATAAAATGAAATCATTTTTTATTTTTATTTACGATATTTCGACCTTAACCAGTCATTATTAGGTAAAACAAACTGTAAAAGATGAAAAATTTTATCTAAAAGACACAATAAAAAACTGAATTTTAACTGCTCATACTCTTTAATGTTATTTCCATTCGACAAGTCATCGACTGAATTTAGTAAATACAGGATAGAAAGTTGTACACTGGAGAATGGAGAATACATGAACGAATACGAAAATGTTTATATATTTTTCCCGATTGTCTTGTTCAAGACGTGAACAAGTTTGAGTTCGAGATAAAAGCTCAAATAGCTTTGCTTTTGTATCAGAGGTACAGACTTGCATGTTTGCCGTTTGTGATGAAAACAGAATTGCTTACATGTTTTTAGCAGCTGAGTTTCGTAGACAGGGTTGCCAGAACTGGTAATTCATGGGGACGGAACAAAGAAATCGTCATGGTGATCCTTTGTTCCATCCCCCATGAGTCACCAGTTCTGGCAACCCTGTTCGTAGGACAAACATTTCACTACAAAATGAGCTATGGGACTCTGGGCGTCTTTTCTGTTTTTGTCGCAATCGACTTTCGACGAAGAGCCCCATTTATCGGTTTCTAGTTCATTTATTACCGTTTCTGTGAGTACAGCTCTTTTAAAGTTAGACGTTAGTAAAGCTGCATCACCGGGACTAACCAACAGTATGTTGAATAATCTTGCATCATCACATGCTGAGCCCACCGTCAGTCTTATTCATGAGTCGCTAGACACGGGAGGGTATTCTCCAGGTTGGAAGGCTGGGCTTGTGAACACGTTATTTAAATTAAATGATATAGCAGAGACTACAAATTGTAGACCGCTTTCGTTCCTACCAGCTATTTCAAAAGTTTGTAAGCGCATTGTGCATAGAAAAATTTTCGCTAGAAATGTGCAGGGTATCTGTTTACGGAGCCCTTGTCCTACTCTGCGAAAAGTTTTTGAGCCCTGTCCCTACCCTACCCTGTATCACTGCAGCCCTGGCCCTACCCTACCCTTTGAAAATTTGAGAATTTTTCATTTACAATTATTTCTTTATATTTTTAAATAAATGAATCATATTGTATTGATAAAAGTTCTTTTTTAAAATTTCGTCGCAACATAATGTCATCGACCGTTTCTTCGTCCAGCCTTTGTTGTTGCTTTTTTATATTGCCAATTGCACCAAAAATGGGTGTCTTGCATCCGATAAAATAAAGAGTTTAAAATAACTGTCGCTAGTGACCGACCTCAAAGTTGTACCGACGATATATCTTTTTTAGTGGAGGCCCTGGCCCTACTCTACCCTGCAGGGTAGAGTAGGGTATGGTAGGGTAAGGGCGCCCTGCACATCTCTAGTTTGCGCGCACCTAATCAGAAATAAACTACTAACGTACGTGTATTTCATTGGTCGTAAGTGTGTAGGCAAATTTCATTAAAAAAGACTACCACATATTTGCTTCTTGAGACTGTTAACAAAATCAAGAAAGGAATGGAAGACGATAAGTTTGTTCGGGCGGCATTAGTAGATTTTTGTAAGCCATTTGATAATGTTAGCCACAAGAGTCTATTGTTTAGACTGGAAAAGAAAGGTATTTGCAGCAAATTGTTAAAATGGTTTCAGAATTATCTCCAAGAAAGAACAATTAGGACTGCTGTTAAAGAAGTTACGTCTATCCACCGGACTATTGGTAGGGTGTCCCGCAGAAATCCGTGCTTCGACCCTTGCTTTTTCTCATCTATATAGATAATCTTGTGCTCAATATTGAAAGTGAAATTAAACTTCTTATTAGTCCTGGAGTGATCAGTCGTTTTGCACAGATTCGTCTTAGATTCTAGTACAAATCTAGTCTACATTCTGCAGACACGTTTTACTTGGGAGAACAGCATACACATATTCAGACTACATTCAGCTAGAATTCAACACCTATAATTAGATTTCTCACCGGAGCACAGTGGGCATTTTTCTATAGAGCAGGCGAACATATACTGTAGGAGTGGTATGAAAGCCTATAAACACATTTTTTATAGGTTTTCGAATATGCTCTTTCCAATGATGAGATTTTCAGTACTCAAAAGTAATTCCTTGTGGGTTTTCTGGAGAGCGGATCTCTGAAAAACCCATAAAAAATATTTTTTCCATTTCGAGAACCTCACTATTCGAAAGATCATATTCGAAAATCTATAAAAAATGTGTTTATAGACTTGTGTACTATTGCTAAAATAAATATCCAAATTCCTAAGCAAAATTTGCTGCTTTT